TATGGGAATTTATTCACATTTGACACAAATTCAAGGATGAACTGAATCTATTTTGGTGGTCAAAGATCAAGGTCAGTTCCCTCACGTCTGTCCCATTACTGTGAATTTGACTGGTTGTTAGGAATTGATTTAAAATGTGGCACCGACAGTTCATGCCTTGGCTCTGTCCTCACATTCCACAAACTGTCTTCCGTTTTCTGAGATAAGCTGCAAACTAATAAACAGATAAAAATGTGACCTAAAACTCAACCTCCTGGACAGAAGTAATCAAAGCTAAACAGATTTTAATTACTGATGAGGCTCCTATTTTTTTTTATAAGGATCCAAAATGTCAGTTTTTCTAACTTTTCAAAGTCATATGTTTAAGCACTAATGTTAGTATATATAGCACAATGTTAATATAGCACAGACTTCAACACAGTATCCAACACATACAAAAGTCCTGAGCACTTAATCATCAGATCACAGTTAACATTTTTCACACCATCCCAGAATAGACAAGACTTACTGAGAACAGTCTTGTGCTCAACCATTAGTGTGTGTGTGTTTACACCGGCATATGGCTGTGCGTATGTGTGAATTTATCTCCTTTGAGCACATCCTACACAGTGAATACACTTCTGTTAAAGCTAATGATGCAGAGAGGGAGCTGTGTGATAGAACATGGAGCAGGAAAGCAGTGGACTGACACTGAGCGTACAGTTGATTCCTCCTCTTTCAAAGACCATGGTTTCCACTTGTTGCAACTTGTTGCCTTTGACACAACTTGAGGGTGTAGCCTATGTGAGTCAGTGTGGCAGCGGTGACAAACCTCATGTGTATTATCAGCTTAGAGAGTGATGACTGACAGGCAGTGATCTAACAGAGCAGCTCGCTGAAGAACAACTATTTTCCTCTATATGACACCTGCTGTATGTAGACAGTTTAATCTATGACTTACTATTTAATCTATAATTTACTAACAGTGTTAGAGAGCAGTGAACCACATGCAGGTAAACTACTTGTCTGGTAGTTTGCAAAGCTATATTTTCACAGTAGTTTCTCTAACACTGCTTATTAATGACTAGCTAATAAAGCTGATATTTTAAACTGTGCTTTTTATGTCATGTGGTACTGTACAAAATTTTATTTTTAATACTCTTGCTGTGGAACAGACATTCATATCAGCCTCAGGTCTGACATGGGTAAACATTACACCAGCTAAACATTTATGCTATATTGTGAGCATGCTGCCAATCTAATATTAGGACTTAGCTCAAAGTACCACGTTGTAGAAGTACTGTACAGAAAGTTAATGCAGAGGTCTGAAGCTGTCTTTGACACCACACAGGTTTACTCCGTGGTTGTTATGACTGTCAGCTATTTACTCATTCAGTTGAATCAGAGCTTCAATCAGTGTTAACTCTAACTGAAATGCAGGAAGTTTGATTTGATTTATTCTTTCAAGCATATAAAACAGTTGATATAACAACACACATTTTTACACACAATCCAATATCAATTTGCATATACCTAGTACATGCTTGAATGGAGTAGGAAGAAGTCAGACTTATCCAGTCCTACCCCATGACATCATCTTACCATCATTGGTTTGCAAGCAGTAAATGATTCTCTTCTACACCACACAAGTAATATACTAAAAAGATTATAACAGTGTTAACATTCTTACATAATTACATTCTTAAATAATTATCTTCTACACCACACAAGTAATATACTAAAGAATTATTACAAAGTGTTAACAATCATACACCACACCCACACTGTTCCATCTAATTAATCATTGAGCCTGTTCTTGCATATATCTTGATTGACACATACCTTTATATTGTTTAAACTCATCAATTCTATTAC